ACCCTGGGATCAGGACCTGAACCGAAGGCAGACGCTTAACGACTGAGCCACCCAGGCGCCCCTAAATAAATAACCTTTAAAGAAAAAATAAATAAATTTCCTGCAGAAAATCTCAAGTCTTTATCTGAGGAACCCATTAGTTGGTCAAGGAAAGATAATTTATGTGCTTTTATAACTAATGACTTAATTTACACTCTTACAATTTAATGTAATCCTTTCTTCTTGCCATAGTATTTCCTTAAGATCCCTCATTTAAACCTGGAAGGATCAATCAGGATATTGGTGTTTCCACTTTGCTCTGTTCCTAATTGCCAGGCTTTCCAAAAGTTTATAAGCCATTCTTACATTGACTAAATAAGAAGTTTCCTTCTTTGTGGCAAAGAGGAGGGTATGCCATACACAAGGTACACTCCACATGAAAATGTTAACTGTCAGAAACAGGCCCTTCTTTCCACATCCATCAGCAGATGGTTTCTCCTTCCCACCTCCTTGGCCATTCTCATCCTAAGGACCGCTTGTGTGGTTTTAAGCGTTTGAATGAGCTCTATTCTTTTCAAAGAGAGAGAATAGAATCCTGGCTCCATCATCTTTCCTCACCTCTTTCTTGGTGGGTTGGTAATGTTGCTGCCTCTGCTCTTTCCTGTCTGACTGGAGGTAAATTAGGTTTGCGTTCATATTTCAATCTGGGAAACATCCAGATTCTTAACTTTTTTAAAGAAATAACTGCTTCTAGCTTAAAGGCATGCAAAAAACCCCAGTGATTTATTTTTTTATTTTTTATTTTTTTTAAAGATTTTTTTTTTATTATTTGACAGAGACAGCAAGAAAGGGAACACAAGCAGAGGGAGTGGGAGAGGGAGAAGCAGGCTTCCCACTGAGCAGGGAGCCCGATGCGGGGCTTGATCCCAGGACTCTGGGATCATGACCTGAGCCGAAGGCAGACACCCAGCGACTAAGCCACCCAGGCGCCCCAAAAACCCAGTGATTTAAAGTTGAATGTTTTCAGGTTATTGTGGCTTTAAAAGGTTAACTGTGAGTTGTTTGGAGGTAAAAGGAGAACTTCTTTGATCTCTCTGAGAAAGGGTAGGAAATTGTCAAATGTTACTCAGAGGCAGAATTTGAAAATAACCTGTAGGAGAAATCTCAGTATTGGGGGGGCGGTGAAAAGAGGGACAGTCGGATCAGGCAGAAGTAAGGTCAGTGATACCCACATCTTAGGCAGTGTACCTGTTTGTTTTGGGAAAACAAAGTTACTGACTTTCCCAGCTTTCATGCAGAGTAGCACAGCATAAATGATCATCCAAGGTAACAGGTGTTCTAAACCATATTTTGGCATTGGAATTTTTATATTTTTTGTTGATTATAAGTGGATCTGGGGGCACCTGGGTGGCTCAGTCGTTAAGCATCTGCCCTCGGCTCAGGTCATGATGGATCGAGCCCCACGTCGGGCTCCCTGCTTGGCGGGAAGCCTGCTTCTCCCTCTCCCTCTCCCACTCCCCCTGCTTATGTTCCCTCTCAATGTCTCTCTGTCAAATAAATAAATAAAATCTTAAAAAAAAAAAAAAGTGGGTCTGATCTTGTGAATATTCACTTTATAAAGTATGTAGCTGCTTAGTGAAGCCCTGATTTTGGCATCACCCCACCCTAACCCCAGTCCAGCTTCTCCTTGCTCCTTGTTCTGAACCAAAATGCCAACTGATAAAACAGCCTGGGGTGCCCAGCTGGCTTAGTCAGTAGAGCGTGCAACTCTTGATTTCAAGGTCGTGAGTTCAAGCCCCACACTGGGCGTGGAGCCTACTTAAAAACAAAAGAAGCATTCTCTGAGTGTTTATGTCCAGTGTAGGTGGGTGTGTGGGGCTTACAATTAAAAGCTGATGATGATCTGGAGAAACAAGAAAGATTTTATTTATTTATTTGGCAGAGAGAGACAGTGAGAGAGGGAACACAAGCAGGGGGAGTGGGAGAGGGAGAAACAGGCTTCCTGCTGAGCAGGGAGCCCGATGTAGGACTCGATCCCAGGACCCTGGGATCATGACCTGAGCCGAAGGCAGAGGCTTAACCAACTGAGCCACCCAGGCGCCCCAACAAGCAGTATTTTCATTAGAACCCCAGTTTTGCATATATGTGGTCATGTGTAGTTACACCAGCATAACGCCAACAAAAAGGTTAGAAGCAGATACACTAAAACAACAAGAGATGTTATCAGGCATGTGCTTATATGTACCTTTCTGTATTTCCTAAAATTCCTATAATAGGCATATAAAACTTTTATTGATTAGAAAAGGAGGCTTCTGGGGGTGCCTGGGTGGCTCAGTTGGTTAAGTATCTGCCTTCACTTAAGCTCAGGTCATGATCCCAGGGTTCTGGGATCAAACCCCGTATCGGGCTCCCTGCTCAGTTGGGAGCCTGCTTGTCCCTCTCCCTCTGCTGCTCCCGCACCCCCCCCAACTTGTGTGCTCTTTCTCTCTCTATATATAAAACCTTTAAAAACAGAGAGAGAGAGAGAGAGAAGAAGAAGAAAGAAAGGGAGGCTTCTTAAAAAATTACAAGTAAGAGGCGCCTGGGTGGCTCAGTCGGTTAAGCGTCTGCCTTTGGCTCAGGTCAAGATCCTGGGGTCCGTGGATCGAGCCCTGCATCCGGCTCCCTGCTCAGTGGGAGTCTGCTTCGCCCTCTGCCTGTTGCTTTCCCTGCTTGTGTTCTCTCTGTCTCCCTCTCTCTCTCTCTCTCTATCAAATAAATAAATTTTTTTTTAAATCTTTAAAAAAAAATTACATGTGTGAAATTTCAGCAAAATAGTTGTTTAATCAACAGTACTAATCACAGGAGTGATCCAAAGTTGACTAAATAAAGGCATACCATTTGCTGAGAGTAGAAGGAGACCCTTATGGATCGAGCACAGAGTAGCTTACCTAGTTTGTAGTTCACATATATTATAACATTTACTTTTCCATTTTAAGGAAGAGGAAACCGATCCTCAGAAAGGTGAGTAAGTTTTGCTGTCTTTGAACCCACATCAGCTAAAAAGAAGAGAGTGTTGTAAGGAGCAGTCCTGACTGGGAAGAGAAGTAGTTAACAGAGGAGACCCAACCTGGATGAATTTGTGGCCATGGATAGTCTGTAACTGCCAGTTTAGTTTCGAGTTAATTACATGGAAATTATATGGAAAGCTTGCACCAGAGCCATCCGATCCTGGGTCTGGGGGCAGCTAGGGTCTTCCAGATCCTGGTGATTTGTTGGGCCCTGGCACCATATTCACAGATAACCAGAATGTCAGGGGGTAGGCCCAAGAGGAGACTTTCCAGTGAAAACGAGAGAGAGCAGGAAGAACATGCTCACCTATCTCTTCTTGCCCTCACCCCTGAATGCACAAGAAAATTATTTTTAGAGATCCACACAGTCAGGTGCTCACTGAGTATTTTGCATGTGTGAACATTAATGAGATTTTCATCTTAATGATGGTGATTAACCTGTGTCTCTCCTGTGCAGATCGTATCTGCAGTCCAGTACTGCCACCAAAAACGGATTGTTCACAGAGACCTCAAGGTGAGTTGCAGGGCCCTTAGTCTGTGAGTGTAAGCTCTGCCTGTATGTGCTCAGTTCTACTGGTGGTCACAGATTAGATTGCCTTATTAAATAAGAAAAGGTAAATCCTATAATAATTGATTCTTTTAGTCAGGTTTTGGTATTAATGAAATATGAAGTTTATTAAAAGTATCTTACATTTCAGTTAAGGTAGCTCATAATTGGTCTCTGTGGAAATATTATCACACTACCAAAGAGGTGGGGGCCTCCAAAAAGCTATGCTGTCACCTAGACGGTGCCCTCAGTGCCACCTGGCCACCTCTTCTGTGTCTCTGGTCAGTGTGGTGCTGCCCGGAGACCTCCTTACTGCCCACTGCTTCACTTCTGGCCCACTCTTGGCATGGGATAAGGTTTTCTGTTTCCCAGAGAACGTAGAAATGCCAGGCAGAAACGTCCAGTTCCCCAGCAAGCCTGCAAAGTAAGCTGCGCCTGTGCCCACCCTTCACCTCTCAGAATACTCCTCTTGTTGCAGGCAGTAGGGCGGCTCTGCTCACCCTGCCTCTGGGTTCTGGGCCCTCTCTACCTCCCGGCTTCTCACCAGCAGCATTTACAAAAACATGCTGAAGTCTGCACTGTCTTTTACCAAAAAAAACCTCTCCACCCCAAGTCCCCTTCCAGATGCACTAGTTTTCTCTCTCTACTTTCCCAGCCGCATCTCCCTAAACATCGTCTAGATTTGTTGGTCCTCGCTTCCTCCCCTTCCGCATGTCATTATCATCGACTGCTTGCTCCTCTCCACACCCACCCATGCTGCGTACACATCCACTCTAGTCGCTGCAGTGGCCACCTGTATGCTGATGACCCCAGATCCATGCCTGCGGCCAGAGCTGACAGATGGGCGACAGCTAAGCCCTACTTCTGTCCCTTGGGTTCAGCAGGTTCATAGCCTACCTTCTTCCTGAACGGGAATGTTCATTTCTCATTCTGATGCCTCATGTCCCTCGGTGCCTCAGTCTCCTTTGCTCTACCATCCACTCAGTCCCCAGGTCCTTTTGCTACTGTTTCCTAAACCTTTTTTGAGCATGCTGTTTCCTGTCTCTGGGACCACTGTCTTCACCCAGACTGCCAGCATCTCGTACACCAGTTTTTTGTTGGTCTTCCTTGCTTCCAATCTTGCCTCTCCCTCCCTTGTCTATTTTACACCCTGCAACCAGAATGGTCTTTTAAAAATACAAATAAGGGCGCCTGGGTGGCTCATTTGGTTAAGCGACTGCCTTCGGCTCAGGTCATAATCCTGGAGTCCCAGGATCGAGTCCCGCATCGGGCTCCCTGCTCAGCAGGGAGTCTGCTTCTCCCTCTCCCGCTCCCCCCTCTTGTGCTCTCTCTCTCTCTCACTCTCTCTCTCAAATAAATAAATAAAATCTTTTAAAAAAATAAAAAATAAATAAAAATACAAATACAAATAAGATTGTCGTTTTCCTGCTTGAGTGATTCTTTAATGGCTTCCCATTGCCCTTAGGTGGAAAACTTGAACTTCCTACCACCAGTCACTCAACTGGCCCTTTGTGATTCGGCCATGGCCATGTCCCCTGCACCTCTTTTCCACACACTGTCTTTCAGTTTCTTGAGTGTAAAGCATGTTCTCTCTTTCCTTCTGGGTTTTCAGACTGTTTATATTCTGCCTCCCACCTCACACCCACTACTATTACCTAAGCCTCCAGGCAGCGGCTCTGATTTCACCCCCCTCTAGGAAGCCTTCCTGCACCTGTTAGTGCTGGGCCCACAGCTCCCCACACATCCTCAGTTACAGCACTGAGGTCAGAGTGCAGCTGCTTGGTCTTCTGCCTTTCCCCCTCTAACCTGTGAGCTCCTTGAGGGCCAGACCCGGTCTATCTTGTTCATCATATGTTCAGACACAAATATAATGCCGGGTGTGTCATTGGCATGTGGTAGATGTTTACTGAAATAAATGAAGATGACTGTGATCTGTATCTTGAATGAGGTCCAGGGCTTTCCCCTCCCCAGTAATAGCCATTGCACAGCTCTTCAGCCGTTTTTATAAAACGTGGCTGGCCGCTTAAAGCAAGTGTTCATTTTTTTAAAAGCCACTTATTATTAATTGAGAAAGCTATTTAAATAATTTTTTTTTTTAATCATGGGGCATTTGTTGTTTAAAATATTGCCAGAGTTAATCTATACCTTGTATCTGTTACTGGTTATTAATGTTAAAAAATTAAAAATCTTGGGGCGCCTGGCTGGCTCAGTCATAAGAACATCTGATTCTTGATCCCAGGAGTTCCAGCTCCACATTGGGTATAGTGATTACTTAAAAATAAAACTAAAATAATAAATATAATAAAATATAAATAATAAACATAATAAAAAATAAAATTAGAAATTCTAATTTATCTTCTGTTTTTATGTTTTTCCTCTAGAAAGAATGTTTCCTTATTTTTTTCATTAGGTTATGTTAACTTTATATCATTACAAAAAGCTTTTATGAAATGCCTAATTCTATCACAGTTCTAATTCTATTTTGGTTAAATTTCATTTTTGTCTTGATGTTTTCCCTCTAGGCCGAAAATCTATTGTTAGATGCTGATATGAACATTAAAATAGCTGACTTTGGTTTTAGCAATGAATTTACTGTTGGCAGTAAACTGGATACGTTTTGTGGCAGTCCTCCATATGCAGCCCCAGAGCTCTTCCAGGGCAAGAAATACGACGGGCCGGAAGTGGACGTGTGGAGCCTTGGCGTAATTCTCTACACTCTAGTCAGCGGGTCACTCCCCTTTGATGGACAGAACCTAAAGGTATAAGAACCAGTTGTTATCCACCCTCTTCAGAATTCTAAACATTTTATTAAATGATGAGGGTTAATATTTTAATGATCTGTCAGTATGATGGGGTCTCAGTGGGTTCTTTTTTAACCTAAAATTTGACTCAACTAGTTTTCTTTCCTCCCTGCCCCCCTAAAGGAACTGAGAGAAAGAGTATTAAGAGGGAAATACAGAATCCCTTTCTACATGTCCACAGACTGTGAAAACCTTCTCAAACGTTTCCTGGTGCTAAATCCAATAAAACGAGGCACTCTAGAGGTAATCGCTTAAGTGCAAAATAAGTAATGACTTTGGAGAGTCTTTACAGTATTTTTAGAACTTTGCTTGGTTTGTATGACATATTGAATACTCTCCTGGGGCTTTTTAAGCAGGAATTGAGACATTGACTTTTTTAAAAGTTATCCTCTGAGATATAATCCTTGAAATGTTGAAAATAAATTTTTCTAAATATTGTGGTTATCAGCATGTTTTATTTTATGCTGCTAATGAATAGTTCACCTTTCAGCAAATCATGAAGGACAGATGGATCAATGCAGGGCATGAAGAAGATGAACTTAAACCATTTGTTGAACCCGAACTAGACATCTCAGACCAGAAAAGAATAGGTAATTACTCTGTGCCTGCGTCTCTGTGTGTGTGCAAGTAACATATTTCTGTTTTGACTCCTATGGATATGCCTAAAATGGGAATAATAGGAAGTTAAACATAAGTTACATGAGTCAGCTTATCTGTTTTGTCGTATTTAGGAACTTACCTGTAGTTTCCTAGAATGGGAACTTAGAAATAAGCCAACTGCCCATTTATGTTAGAAAATCTATGATGTTTTCGGTCAAATAATGGAAATTATTTTATCCTGTAACACAGTGATTTTGTATCCAGACAAAACACATAAACTATATTATGTCCTTCTTTTAGATATTATGGTGGGAATGGGATATTCACAAGAAGAAATTCAAGAATCTCTTAGTAAAATGAAATATGATGAGATCACAGCTACATATTTGCTATTGGGGAGAAAATCTTCAGAGGTAAGAGTAATCAGAAAGAGCAAATATGACTTTTAGGTAAATGATGAGTTTAGTAAGCTCTTTTCTTAATATATATAACATTTGATGTATCATTTTTAAACTTACCTGCAAATGACAGATCTAACTGCTATGACCATTATTAATTTTAATTTTGAGGTAGTAACCTTAACGGTGGGTATTGTCACAAACTTGAATGTCATAAGTTAACCTATAGTCATTAATAGTTTAGAAATTATGTAAAGTATGAGATGAAGTGAACAGAGAGCATTTTAAATTATATGAAAAAGCCTAGAAAGAAAATCATAAATACCTATCCTTTCATGAGCTTTTTTATCAGTCAGAAAAATATTTTTGCCCAAATTGAAGGTTGTCACTTTTGTGCATTGTGATTCTTCGTCTGTAAATGAACTGTTTGTGAGAGGTTTGTGTGTTAGGAGAAGTTCAGTTTCCTAACATGTCGTTTGGGTCCGTGTTGTGGTTTGCTCTGTTCTTCTCATTTCCTCGTAGCTGGATGCTAGTGACTCCAGTTCTAGCAGCAATCTTTCACTTGCTAAGGTTAGGCCAAGCAGTGACCTCAACAGCGGGACTGGCCAGTCTCCTCACCACAAGGTGCAGAGAAGTGTTTCTTCCAGCCAGAAGCAGAGGCGGTACAGTGACCATGGTAAGTTTGAGACCGTTGCAGTGTGTCCTCCTGCAGTCTCCCCTTACACAAGAGACCTCGTAACATTGGGAAGCATCCTTTGGCTTAAGGCCTACTGGGACGGGAAATTGACTTGATTTATTTTCAGGGCATTTCCTTCCTACCAGTCCTCGTGATGGCGTGATCATCTCAAGGCTCTGATCTCTTTGGTACACTCACTCCTCTGGGACTCCGGCTTCAATCTCTGGTTCTCTGTTCGCTCTCTTCCCCATCTCTGCATTGGATTTACTTTCCTGAGCGTTGTCCAGCACTTTTGCAGTGCTGAAAATGTTCTAGATCTGTGCTGTCCCATAGAGTAGTCACTGGCCACATGTGGCTGTTGAGCACTTGAACTGGGGAGATGGTTTTCAGTTTTGATTAAGCTAAATTTATGTAGCTACATGTGGACAACCGTGGAGAATGTATAGTACCCCAGTTTGCCTCAAGTGGTTTAAATTTTTGACTTGGGTCATTCTCAGCCGCACACTCTAGCTGTTGATGTGTCTTAACACCCTCACTCTTAAAATATTCACCATAGATGTGAATCTTTTATGAGCCTTTGGACCCTAAAAGATATGGTTACCAAACTTAACAATTATTCTGCCTTCCAGGCAGCCCCGTGTGTGGGGATCCAGAGACTCTAGCCCGCGCGCGCATGCGTGTGTGTGTATGTGTGTGTGCAAGCATGCGCACGCGCTTATTTCACCTGTAACCTGTGAATGTGCACATGGCATTTGTAAACCTAGTGTTGATCTGGGTCTCTTGTCTCTTTGGTCATGTTCAGGTTAGTTGTTACAGAGGGGTTTTCAGTGCCTCTGGACAACAGGGCATTTAGCAAAATGCCTACAGATTGCTCTAAACCATCTAGTTTAAAGGGAATTATTCCTAAATTCTTGGTTGGAGGGGGAACTGGTTTTTGTTTTGGGTTTTTTGTTTTGTTTTGTTTTGTTTTTTAGTTTTCTCTTATCTCTAGTGACTATCTTAGTAAGTTAATTCTTCCCTAAGCACATATATTCCATTTGGATTGGTAATGCCTTTTTTCCCCAGCTCAGAAAATTTTAGAGTGGAAAAGAGCTTTAGCCATGGTGTCATACACTCACCTAACCCCCATTTTATCAATAAGGATAAAGGCCAAGAGAGCTCACTAAGTCTCCCGAGGTTACAGAGAAGTAGGAACACCTGTGACAGAACCCCCGGACTTCTGGCCCTGGGTCCTGGGGCTCTGTCCACTAACCCACTGACCGATTACCTCATGGAGTAGTATTTTTATAATAATAATGATCCTTCCTTCTTGGAGCCTCTAATATTAAAAAGTGCATAAAAGAGGGGCACCTGGCTGGCTCAGTCAGTAGAGCATGCAACTCAATCTCAGGGTTGTGAATTCAAGCCCCAAGTTGGGAGTGGAGCCTACTTAAAAACAAAAAACAAACAAAAAAAATTTCATAAAAGAATATTTCCAGAAATCCATGTATATAGAAAGTCACTGACCCGATTCTATGTTGTTTTTTTATTCTTTTATGGGGATGAAGATAGTGGTCAGCAAAGGAAAGATTTTGGTTATGCCTCTGGCTGTGTTCTTTTAAGTGCTAAAAATGGGATAGATTGTATATACAGTATCTAGTAAAGCATACCCCCTTTATACCAAGTAAAGGCAGACAAGCCTGCAGCTAACCCAGCTTTTAGCTTGTCTCTCATCTCTCCCCTTGTTTCCTACTTCTAGATGCCAACAGTTTACATATGCCTGCTTCTGTAGAATTACAACTTGTTTTTTCTGTGGTTCTTAATTTGGGTCACCTGTGTGAACCCCCTGTATGTGTGTACATATTTTTCTAGGAAAGGTGATCTTCATTAGATTTTCAAAGCGTTCTTTGTCTTGTAAAAAAAAAAAAAAAGTAGAGAATCACTGGTTTATTAATCAATAAATGGTATTGGGGCATATGGTAGTTATCAGAAAAAAATAAATTTGCATCCATTTCTCACATCTTATACAAGGGTAGATTCCATTTGGAATAAAGATGTAAATATAAAAATACGGAAATATTAAAACATGAGATAATTTGCCTTTTCTTTATAACTTGGACTAGTGAGGGTCGTTCTGACTGTAACCCCAGTACTAACAGCCATGAAAGAAAAGACGTATTTACCAAGTTTGACTATGTAAAAATCGCATTTCCGTGTGAGACAGTCACACCATAGAACGCTACTTGGCAATAAAAAAGAACAAAGTATTGATGGGTGCAACCATTTGTATAGATCTCAAGGGAACTATGCTGAGCGGGGAAAAAAAATCTCAAAAGGTGTCATGAAATTGATTCCATTCGTGTAACATTCTCTAAAAGAGAGAATTCCAGAGATGGAGACCAGACCAGTGGTTGCCAGTGTTTAGGGAACTAGAGGTTGGGGTGGAGAGGATGGCTGTGCTGGAAAAGGACAGTCTTTTTTTTTTTTTTTTTTTTAAAGATTTTTACTTATTTGACAGAGAGAGACACAGCGAGAGAGGGAACACAAGCAGGAGTGGGAGAGGGAGAAGCAGGCTTCCCGCCGAGCGGGGAACCCGATGCGGGGCTCGATCCCAGGACCCCGGGATCATGACCTGAGCCGAAGGCAGACGCTTAACGACTGAGCCACCCAGACACCCCAGAAAAGGACAGTCTTGAGACGGAACTGCTCTGGCTTGACTGGTGGCTAGCCTGGGTGGTTCCTGTGCGTGGAACTCACTGTGGCACTGGTGAGACAGTGCAGTCAGGTTTCAAAGCAGATCAGCAGTAACCCTAAAAATGCAGGACGTCCTTAGCTGTCTCATGCTGTTGAGAAGAAAGATAAGTTTAAGGGTAATATCACCCATACTTGGTTAATTCTTTGTTTTTTATGTTAAAATTCCCAAACTTAGAGCTTAATTGTTTCCCTCCTACAAATAAAAGCAAACCTTTGTATACTTCTAATTCAGTTCCAAATAAATTTACCATTTAGATTTTTCTCCAAGAAGTAGCTTTTTTGTACCCCACCCCAAGCCCTCTTTAATAGATCTAAAATATAAAGTCTCTTCTATAGAATAGATGATGAGCATTTGATGCCATTCCTGAAGATTACTGCTGGATGACATACATAACGAATATACTAGTTATCTTGTTCATTTCCAAAATTCTTTGAACTCCAAATCTCCTGGGCTACCATCAGAGTCTCCAGATGCTTTTTTGTAGGGCATAAGTTAATTGTCCATCCACGATGTTCCCAGGTGTATTCCTCCTGGGGTGGGAATGTGGCTGGGAACATGGCGTTCCTCTCCTTGTGTCCCCTTTCCCTGTCTACTCAAATTCCTGTTTATCTAGAAGATTATGAGTGCTTTAAAAAAGATCCAGGATAAAACTTCAAAAGTAATGACCCATAAATCTGTTCTGTTCCGAAAGGTGAAGGCCTCTCTTATACAAAAAAGGATAAGGTTCACTCAGATGTACCAGGCGAAGCAGTTCATTCTGCATGATGTATGTACATCAAGTTAGTTTGATTATTTATCTGTACAGTAACACTCTCTGAAGATGTTTTCAGTGGACAGCTATCCCTGAAGATGTCTTTGAAGCACAACTATACAAGCTTATGAATTAAAAAAACAAAGAACAAACAAAACCAAAACTTTAAGAAAAGTAGAAAGGGACAAGTAAGTGAAATTTCAAAATTGAACTCATTGCATAGGGAAGACATTATACATGAACGGGAAACATCCTACAGGATTTTACTGTCTTGTATTTTCTTAGATGATAGCAGTCTTAAGTCATCTTATAAAATATGTTTATTTTCACAGAATAAAATGTAAAACTATGTTCTGGCTTTTAAAAAGTAACTCTTTATTTTAGCTGGACCAGCTATTCCTTCAGTTGTGGCATATCCGAAAAGGAGTCAGACCAGCACTGCAGATAGTGACCTCAAAGAAGATGGAATTCCTTCCCGGAAATCAAGCGGAAGTGCTGTTGGAGGAAAGGGAATTGCTCCAGCCAGTCCCATGCTTGGGAACGCAAGTAATCCCAATAAGGCCGATATTCCTGAACGCAAGAAAAGCTCTACTGTCCCTAGTGTAAGTATTGTTAAGCTAGAGAGCATTCCTAGCATTGTAGGGTTATGGCGGTCTGGGCGTTTTGTTCCTCTGTTCTTATCCACCTGCAGTACTATCCCCACCAGGCCACCATGCCCAATCTCAGCCTCTAGAGATCACCTTCAGTATCTGTGTTGAAGGTGTTTCTTGCTGAGCCCCATCCCACTAGATGAGTGTTCAGATCTTTCTTGTCAAGGGCTGTTTCTGGTTATTCCACAAGCATCTGCTGAGCTTTAGGTCATTTCAGGTGCTAAGAAATAGAAATACCTCATAGCCTAAGAGGAAATAAATAAAACCAAATGATGACAGTGCAGACAGGCGACTGCAGACAGAAGCCTAACAGAGTCTCTGCAGGACACTGGGAGGTCTGATTGCCTGAGGGCCTGGGATATGGTTTGCATCTTCATAGGGCTCTCACGATAAAGAACATTTGAATGAGTCCTTACTGTGTGCCAGGGACTCTGCCAAGTGCTTTTCCATGTATTAGCTAAATTTTAGGTGAGAAAATGAAGAAAAGTTAGGTAATTTCCTAAAATTATACTGCTGGTCTGTATCCATCTCTTAATCCCTATCCTTAACAAATCTTCCCCTTAAATAGGTAGTATTTATTAAACTAAATTCAGTCTATTTAGTTTCAGGAACTTTTCTGTGAATTGAAACATGTTCTATCTGACTAATACAGTAATTATTATTCTTAGCACTCTTGAAGTAATTCTAGAAAGAATTTGCAGAGACTATAGTCTTAGGAATATTCTGTAACCACATTTTTTCCTGCAAAGTTAACAGTGACATAGCCCTCCCTCTACCTCAAAAAACCCAAAGTGAGAGGACCCATGGAGAAGCTGGGCTGCTCCTTTTGGGAGGCTTTTATTTGTGCTGTTCTGGGCATAGGAGCTCATAGGGAAGCCTGAGGGGGTTTGTCTGCTCTATCCTCTGACCTTGTGTTTTATCAGAGTAAACCCTGTGTGAAAAGGTTTTTTATTTTGCCTTCCTAATGACCTAAAGTTGGGTTGTGACGTCACAGCTCTACAATTTAAGTTCAGCCTCCAGCTTTTGCTGACATTTGTGAGAGGAAGGTAAGATATGTCCTCTGCCTTCATGACTTTCTGTCCCTGTTGGCTCTACTCAACTGCACACCTCCTCCCTTTTGAAGATGTACCCCAAGCATTGTCAGTCATCCATACCTGATTATTTATAAAAGATAAAAGTAACGTTATTAAAATTTTCTCCCATTTAGACTGGAATCTCCCTGTACATGGTCTACTTGTGTTATAGTAAAGGTGGCTGCTTTTCTTTGTTTAAAAATTATTCGTATCTGATGAAATTCCTTAGTTGTTAATTCCTTGCTTGTTAATTTTGAAAGCATTAGCTTTTTAAAAACTGGTGTGAAATTCATGTGACATAAATAACCATTTTGAAGCAGACTATTTGGTGGCATTTGGTACATTCACGGTGTTGTGCAACCACCACCTCTCTCAAGTTCTGAAACTTGATTTCATTACCCCAGAAAAACATCCTATATCCTTTAAATAATCACTCTCCTCTCCCCCATATCCTGGCAACTGCTAATCTGCTTTCTCTCCTAATGGATTTGCCTACTGTGGGGTACTGCATATAAATGGCCTCCTTCCATACACAACCTTTTGTGACTGACTTCTTTCCCTCAGCGTAATAATATTCTCAAGGTTCATCCAAGTTGTAGCATGTATCAGCACTTCCTGCCTTTTTAAGTGTCAGTTTATTGCTCTGTTCATCCCTTGATGGACATTTAGATTGTTTCTACCTTTTGGTTATTGTTAATAACATTGCTATAAACATTTATGTATAGGTTTATATTTAGACTTGTGTTTTCATTTCTGTTGGATACATACCTAGGAATGAAATTGCTGGCTCCTATGGTAATTCAATAATTAACTTTTTTTTTTTTAAAGATTTTATTTATTTATTTGAGAGAGAGAGTGAGAGAGAAAAAGAGCACAAGAGGGGGGAGCGGGAGAGGGAGAAGCAGACTCCCTGCTGAGCAGGGAGCCTGATGCGGGACTCGATCCTGGGATTCCAGGATCGTGACCTGAGCCGAAGGCAGTCGCTTAACCAACTGAGCCACCCAGGTGCCCAATAATTAACTTTTTTTGAGGCACTGCCAAACTCCAAACTTCCCCACACTGACTACCATTTCCCATTCCTTCCATATACGAGAGTCCCTATTTCTCCACATCCTTGTCAGCACTTGTTATTTTCTGTTTTTTATTATAGCTGTTCTAGGGGCGCCTGGGTGGCTCAGTCGTTAAGTGTCTGCCTTTGGCTCAGGTCATGATCCCAGGGTCCTGGGATCAAGCCCCGCATCGGGCTCCCTGCTCCTTGGGAAGCCTGCTTCTCCCTCTCCCATTCCTCCTGCTTGTGTTCCCTCTCTCACTGTGTCTCTCTCTGTCAAATAAATAAAATCTTAAAAAAAAAAAAAATCTATTATTATAGCTGTTCTAATGGGCAAAAAGTGGTACCTTGTTGTGCCTTTGATTTGCATTTCTTTAATGACCAGTGGTGTTGAGCATCTTTTCATGTGCTCATTGGCCTTCTTTGGGGATATGCCTGTTCAAGTCTTTTGCCCATTTTTAAACCAGACTGTTTGTCATTTTGTAGTTGAGTTGTAAGAGTTTTCTTTTTCTTTTTTTTTTTTATAAAGATTTTATTTATTTATTTGAGAGAGAGAATGAGACAGAGAGAGCATGAGATGGGGGAGGGTCAGAGGGAGAAGCAGGTTCCCCGCCGAGCAGGGATCCCGATGCGGGACTCGATCCCGGGACTCCAGGATCATGACCTGAGCCGAAGGCAGTCGCTTTACCAACTGAGCCACCCAGGCGCCCCGAGTTGTAAGAGTTTTCTATGTATGTTAAAACTTTACCAAATATATGATGTGAAGATATTTTCTCCTATTCTGTAGGTTCTCTTTTTACATTCTTGGTAATATCCTTTGATGCACAAAAGTTTCTAATTTTGATAAAGTCCAGTTTATCAGTTTTTTTCCTTTTGTTATTCGTGCTTTGGTGTCATATCTCTGAATCTGTATAATGCAAGGTTGTGCAGACTTACCTGTGTCTTTACTAATAGTTTTATAGTTTTAACACTTATGTTTAGATCTTTATTTTTCATTTTTATTATTTTCATGCTTATTATTACATAATTTGTATATTTACCTTATATTTCTAATCCTTGCTTTTTGATTTTTGTTTTAAAAACAGTAGCTATCAGGGCGCCTGGGTGGCTCAGATGGTTAAGCGTCTGCCTTCGGCTCAGGTCATGATCCCGGGGTCCTGGGATCAAATCCCATATTGGGCTCCTGGCTCAGCGGGGAGTCTGCTTCTCCCTCCCCCTCTGCCTCTCCCCCTGCTCATGCTCTCTCTCTCTACCTCTGTGTCTCAAATGAATAAATAAAATCTTAAAAAAAAAAAACAACAACAGCATAAAAACAGTGACTATCTTCCTACTCTGTTCTAAGTGTGTTATTAATTTATGGATTATTATAGCCAACTTTTTAGAGTCACTCTACCATAGCCAGCTTTCATTCTGTCTGCCAGGAGACAGGACAGAGACTGTTGCCTCCACCACCATTTGTGATCTTTTTAGCCAGTGCTACTGATAGCTTACTGTCGGGTTATTCAAAGACTAAATTATTCATGTGTATTTAGATGAGCTTTTTTTTCCTCTTTGTACTCTCCTTATTACTGAGTGGTAAAAAGATAAAAAATGCCTCCTCCTTTGTTTTTTTGTTTTTTTGTTTTTCCTCCTTTGTTTTTAATAGAGTAATACAGCATCTGGTGGAATGACACGGCGAAATACATATGTTTGCAGTGAAAGAACTACAGCTGATAGACATTCAGTAATTCAGAATGGGAAAGAAAACAGGTATGAAATTTTACCTGTTTGCAAGAAAATTTGTTTTTCCCAAAAGAAATGGAAGCATGTTGTTTACTTCTCAGTTTTTATAATCAGAATTCAGATAATAATGGTAAGTATTCTTTCACGGTAAGTTAAATACAATGCAAATTTTTAGCGAGATACTAGAATTCCAAATTCCTCTCATTGTCCAGAGCTTATCAGGCTGTGTGTGTCATGGTTGAAAGGGTTGAGTTAAATCAGGGAGCTTTCCTACAGGAGACACATCTTAAGCTGTGTTGCAATTGTAGAATAGCAAATAGGGGAGTGGACATTATTTTGTGTACATTAACAAGTTGAACAAAGGGTGAAGTGGGGAGGGATAATGACCCAGGGCACAGGGAGCCAGGCCTCTGGAGGACAGTGTGAGGCAGGGTGAGTGAGACTTCAGTAACACGCCAGCAGTTTACCAAAGGGACCAAGTGGATAAGTTGAGTGGGAAAAGTGGGATAAAGTAGGGCCAAAGACCATCGTTTAGGGGGAGAGAAAAAAGAGAAGAAAGAGGTTGGGATTGGTGGAGTAGTTAAATATATTCTGAATGGAACAAATTTCTCAGGCAAGCATGGATTTTTCTTCTTTCTTTTGGTAAGAGTAGCATATAAATTAAATTCAGAGGGGTGAGGTAAAGCCACAATGAGCAAGTAAAGTTCTGGAGTAGAAATCCATTAAGTAAATTCCCACCATCTTTCATTGTCCCCGGCTGCCTAACTTGAACATTGTCTGGTCTCGTCACAGTCCCATGTCTGGCATCAAAACGGTTTCTTTCTTTTTTGCTGACATTTACTTTCTGAAGATGCATTGTATGGTTTCTGTTCCCTTTAGATCTCATTAGTCAAATGTTTGATCACTAACTCTTATGACAGCCTAAGCAAAGATTCTTCTTTCCTCTTTCATCCTCAAAACCAGACTGTTTATCATTTCCCTTTTCCATAGACTACTTAACTTTGAATTGACATGAAGCTAAAAGCTTATTGTGTGAGATTATGTTGGTTATTCAGTGCGTTTTTAAAAATATTTACACTCCAGTGTTCTCTTTTCTGATTCCTATGTGTGTACTTGTTTTAACATTGTCTTTTTCCTTGTGATTAAAAACTATCGATAGGGCGCCTGGGTGGCTCAGTCGGTTGAGCGACTGCCTTCGGCTCAGGTCATGATCCCAGGGTCCTGGGATTGAGTCCCACATCGGGCTCCCTGCTCAGCGGGAAGCCTGCTTCTCCCTCTCCCACTCCCCCTACTTGTGTTCCCTCTCTCGCTGTGTCTCTCTCTGTCAAAAAAATAAAATCTTTAAAAAAATAAAAAAAATAAAAACTATCGATAGCTAGAGTATGATATGGCAGCTGTGCTAGATAGCTTACAAATAATTGATTTTTTAATAGTAGTCTATTCTCTGGTAAAGCTTCTTACATTACATTCTCAAATCTATCATTTCTCCTAGTTCAAAATTATTTAATAGAATAATAGAATAATAATAAATAATTATTTAATAGAATAGAATTATTTAATTATATCAATAGAAGACAATTAGAGTTTCTAATGTAAATGTTGTTTCATGACTCTTCTTCCTTTTGGAAATTCTTTTTAGTTGCTGAACTACTTTACCAGATTCTTTTTGACCGTTAGGAAATACAGTTCTCTGAGGTAAAAGGCTGTTAAGACCAGGATCTGCTCTCTGCTCCCCAGCTTGTGTTTGTGTGGTGCACATGCTCTTCTGACTCTCCCTTCCTGCAGTATTCAATTCACTCTTTGGAAACAGTTTGAAGAATTCTCTAATCTCTTTGGAATCATTACCTGTCTGTGTCTTCCCTGTCAGGGCTGACCCCTCCTTATCCCAGCCTAGGCCTCGTTGCTACAGTAGCTTCGATCATTTAAATGCTTTGCTTTTGAAAGTATTGTTTTTATCTTTAGCCAAGTAGAGCCTCAGTGTCAAACCACTCAAGACATGGCCCAAAATTTGTATAATATCTGGATTTTCTTTTTCTTTCTATCATACAAATGCATTGAAAAACTGTGGGAAATTATTGGAGGCTTGAATGGCAAACTAGTCATATTTTTTACTTTCAGTTAGGGCAATAAATGTGACAACTTTCTCGCCCTTAAAGTCGATGCTGAGTTGTAAATTGGATGCACTGCACCTTCTCTGTGCACAGATGACTTCTCAGGCAGATGGTTACTTTCTCCTCTCCCCATGTAGATCTCTGACTCCTTGACTAAAATACTGGTGAGCTACAGGATGCCTGGATCCCTCTTAACTTCTGGAAAAAGGACGTTCATTTTCATTTTTAACCATGAATATGTGGGACTTTTTTCTTACATGCGCATATGTTTATACAAAATTCTAACATGAGCGTGATCATGGCTAGTAAAGGCTGTGCAAGTTTGAACCAAAGGCTGTACACGTCCTAGACAAGCTCTTCTCCAGCTGTCTTCCAAATCCTGCCATGAGCATGGGGTGATGTTTTAAATTCTCCCCACTGGCAATGTCATCGTTTCATTTTAAAATTAATTTTATGGATTAATTCTTACCAGGGCAGTCTTTCTGTTTTATCAGGCCTACTGTATGAAAATAAAAAGAAATCATTGTTGTTTAAAGGACAGAAGTTACAGGATTTGGCAAACTCTTGCTTTGGCTTGAGCACATGTGAACTGTTTTCTAAGTCAGACCATTGTTTTGACATCGGGCATGCCGAAATCCATCTTACTTTTGCTACATCTCCTGATGTAATTATTCTACCTTCTTCTGACGGCAGACTCTGACCGTGGCCCATTTCCAACAATGACGAATAGTCAGTATAAACTAGGCGTGAGAAAGTGTAACCACATCTTCAGTTGTATGGTTCTGTCACAGTTGTGTAGGTTCTTACAATGAGTCTTAAACACTTAGCGCAGAGGCTGACGCATAGTGCTCAACACATACTAGCTTATGAAAGTATTGATGATAAACCATTCAGATGGGAATGTCAAGAATTTTCTTAGTTTACACTGATTTCTCGACTTAATTATTTGGTAACCTACACACATAACGTGGACTCTGTGTCCTCTTTCATATGCTTTTAGATACCTATAGGAGACTGTTGGAAAATGTATTCAGTTGAGGGCCCCCAAAGATGTAGTGTGATATGGTTATAATAAAGCACAACAGAATCTTTTCAAAAAAGTTTTAGGTATTTGATATTCTAGGTAAGATTTTAAAATTGTGGGGCGCCTGGGTGGCTTAGTCGTTAAGCATCTGCCTTCAGCTCAGGTCATGATCCCAGGGTGCTGGGATCGAGCCCCGCATTGGGCTCCCTGCTCAGCGGGAAGCCTGCTTCTCCCTCTCCTTCTACTGCTCCCCCTGCTTGTGCTCTCTGGCTCTCTCTGTCAAATAAATAAAATCTTAAAAAAAAAAAAAAAGATTTTAAAGTTGTAAAGTGTTTCTATTATTTTATCCATTTATCCATTTGTCCTACATTAAGGCACAGGGATTGAGCAGAGAAAGTTCACACATGTATCTTTTAGGTTAAATTTTTAATTCTGCCTTTACCCAATCACTGAGTATGGTTTGAGTCAGCAACCAAAACATACCATATCAGAATGTTCTGATAGGGCATAAATGTCATTATCAAACAAATTCAAAATACCTATCCTTTAGTAACTGTAAGTAGATTAGAGTTTCCAAAAATGATAATCAGACATAAATACAAAGCAGTTAGATTAACAGGAACCTCAAACAACTTGAATTGTAAGAAACAGTTACTATTTCTGTAGGTTAAGGTTTGAAAATGGTTTTCCCTTGGACCCAGAAATACTAAAAATGTAATGCAGCTACTGTTTTGCTGATGTAGATGATTATGGGCTAATCTATTAAATATAACCACCATTTATTTTTAGCACTTTTCTGGTGGTAAAATTTTGTCCAGTTTTCGCAGCAACCAACTTGATGACCTTTTAGAATACTGTGTCAAAAAAATTTTTTTTAATTTACAATGAAAATATCAATTTACACTTCCCTTTTTGGAAAGGTTTATAACTTTAAGGAGGGTCACTTTTTTGCTGCAAAGTGTCTGTCCAGTCTTGCCATGCTTATGTGCCTTGTAGATCTTGCCTACACGGTCCAGCCATTGAGCGGTATGCCTTGGGGAGGGAGGTGGGGGGAATAGATAGGCATCTTCTTGCTCTGTATGCTGACTAAAAGCCCTTTACTTCTTCACGGTCTTTGGGATCATTCATATTCTCCAGGGAAGAAGCTAGACAACCCCTGTATTCCTTTATTCCCCTGCTTTTAATGCACCCATTGATCCTAGCTCCTAATTTGAGCAAGAGAATGTCAGCAACTAGGCAGAGACATCAAGTGGGTTGACCCTTGACCTGTCCTGAACAGATAATAGAGCACAAAAGACAGTCATTATTTATCTGTAACTTGTTAAAGAATAAAGTTGTATATATATATATATATATACGTATGTATGTCTGTATGAGAAACAAGCGAGCATTTCTCAGATAGTTGAATCTGTTTCTCGCTCTCCCGCCCCCACTTCTCACTACTACACTTGACTAGTCTTTAAAAAGAGTTGAATCAGTTAGGACTATGTGTTACAGGTGACAGGAACCCAGTCCAAACAAACTTAAACTAAAAAGGGCATCGGGACACCTGGGTGGCTCAGTTGGTTAAGCGGCTGCCTTCGGCCCGGGTCATGATCCTGGGGTCCTGGGATCGAGTCCCACATCAGGCTCCTTGCTCAGTAGGGAGCCTGCTTCTCTCTCTCTCTCTCCCTTTGCTTGTGCTCTCTCTGTCAAATAAATAAAATCTTAAAAAATCAATAAACAATAAAAAGGGCATCTTTGGGGCGCCTGAGTGGCTCAGTCAGTTGAGCGCCAATTGACTCTTTCTTGATTTCGGATCAGGTTGTGATCTCGGGGTTGTGAGATTGAGCCCCCCATCAGGCTCTGCGCTCAGTGGGGAGTCTGCTTGAGATTCTCTCTCTCCTTCTCCCTCTGCCCCCCCACCCCGCCGCGCATGCGCTCGCGCACTCTCAAATAAGTAAATCTTTTTTTAAACAGTGTATCTTTGAGTTCCTATAACCAAAAAAGTGCAGAGAAAGTCAGGGTCTGTCTCCTGATTTCGCTTCCTCTGTAGTGGTTCCCTGGTTGGGCTCAGCAGCATTAGACTTGGCATCTTCCCACACTCAGCTCCTCGGACAGAAGCCCTGGGGCTGTCTCTGGGTCCATGCTGGTGTGGTTCTAGCCATGTGCCCATCCTGTCACTGGCCGGAGTGGCTGCGAAAGTCTGGGATGGAGTCAGTGACATCCAGAGCCTAGGAACTTGTTTCCCTCATAGCAGAATTCAAGTGTCATTGCCCCAGGTAAAAGAGTGGGTGCCAAGTGGCAAAAACTGAATCTATTTTTATCTTCATAAGGCATTTGTTTCCAATTCTTCTGTGACTACATTAGAGCCATTCTCCCAAGTCAGAGGACAAAATTCTCAAACAAAAATGCAGGGACAAACAGATCTTGAGCAATTTATTACAGACACATCTCCCCCACCCCACCGATCAGGATTGTCAGAGCTCCAGTGACTCATTTCATTAACTTACCTTTTCAGTTAGAGCATTTATTGGCACCATGCTTTAGGACACTCAAGCAGGGAAGGGTCACTGTGATACCGTATGGTGTGCAGTAGCAGGTGAACGTAGTACAAAAGGGGATGATAAGTTGCTGATGGGAAAGGACATCAGGGAAAACTTCATGGAGAGGGTGACCTCTGGGTTAAATTTTGATGAAAATAGAAGATGCCTGCTCTCCAGACACAGAGAATAGTTCCTGTGAAAGTTATTTGACCTGATGTATGACCAGGGGTTTACACATCATAGAAGCTCCCAAAAGTCAAGTTCCAAAAGGTAACAGTAGAAGGTAGAGCCGGGAGCTGCAGCCGGGGCTGGGCTGTGGGTGCCTGAGGGAATGAGTGGGATGCCAGGGTGAGGAATCTGAACTCAGTCCTGAAGACACAGTGTACTTTTGAAAGGCTATAAGCAGATGAGTGGCCAGTGAAGGCCAGGAGACCAGTGAAGACAGGTGCTAAGGTATAGAAGGTATAGACCAGTGTGGGAGAGAGGGAAGACCCTCTGTGGGGAGACCCTGGGGTAGAGGTGGGGAGGGTGTGCAGACTAGCGTGCACGATCACAATTGTGAATCCCTGGCTCGCTTCAAAGGAGAGAAACTGCCTCTTTGGAACTCCAAGGGCAGGATGACTGAGCTGGAATTAAGGAACAACGTGGCCATGGTGAGGCTCGTGTCACTCTCTATGCCAGGTGAAGCTGCAGGCGTCCAGCCACGTCTGTCGCTCTTTCTTTGTCTACAAGTAGTTAAATTACTCTTATTAGTTTTCCTGCCTTGAAAAAAGGGGCTCTGTTGACCCCTTAGGAATTTTGACTTGTTTATAAAGAAGTGAATGTCCTTTGCATAGGAAGATTCTCATCTATCTTTAAACAGCATAGGACACTTGGATAAATAGCACCTAGTTACTATACCTGTCGTTTTACTAGTCCATTTAAAATATGTCTGTGTGCTTGGGGAACAGGTCGAAAGCACGGTGTGCTCATGTTATAGATTCACTCGACCACTTCAATTTGAACGGAGACATCTCTTTCGGGAAAGGCTTTATTTTGTACACAGCTTAGAAGACATTGCCCCCTCACATAAATATTCAAACAAGTAAGATGTCATTTTTCTTCTTTAAAGCTAATAAATCTTTTACTGTTTGGAAAAAAAATAGCTACAGGTTAGTAATTGCTGCAGAATCCCTAAAACAAGGTTAAGAGATTTTTGTTCTAAGGCAAAAATGAGATGGTTTGGGGAGGAAGGTGTGTGCTTTAAATAGCAGGTCGCTCTTTTTGTCACTGCGCCATCATATTGTTGTTTCTGCCTCTGCCTGAACCCAAACCCCCTCCCAGCCTGACAGAACTGTTCGCTTACGCAGCTAGCCCTGCCTCAGTTTGTGCCACATCTTCCACCTGTCGGCTGAGACATCAGAAGTCGATGTCCATGTCAGCCTCTGGGCACCCCACGATGATGGTACCTCCAGTAGACAGTGAAGGAGATAACAGCAAGGCTGTGTAAGACAACTGCACATTCCTCGTGAGACTCTTGTGTGCCCACCGCTGCTCCATGCTGTGCTGTGGATTTTATAGTCCACAGGTCGTTACTCTTGTGCACAAAATACCCTTCCTGTGTGTGGTTTTAGTTCAGCGCATCCTATGTCATGGTGTCCTTGGTCGTCTGTGTGTCTTCATGCCTTTGCATACTCCAAAGGGTGTAAGAAGTACCCCCTCCTCTCCATGGTGCTCTTAGCATGTGGAATCTGAAAGTAAATATGCCTTTTGTGTTTGTGTGCTTCTAAAACTTTTTAGTTGCCTCTTCTTCAGTTTCACCCGCATAGCCCATATTTCTTTTATATTGCCAAGGTTCTCTGCATGTAAGCAGCTTTGAGAAGGAAGCAAAGGGAAAAACCTTGAGTTAGCCATTCCTTTGTCCTAGAATTTCCCTGCATTAATCTTGTCCTTGAAAATATGTATGTCCTATTCCCTTAAACCCCATGAGGCTGTGTTTCATTATATACTGTTTATTTGATACCCTCCTATTTAGCTTGCCTTTTGGTCCTGCGCCCTATAAAATACCCCCTTGGGTCTAGAGATTTATTATAAGTGATTTTCTCTACCGTATATAAGAGGTATATTGGGATTGTAGATTTTTGTGTGCCATGTTTGCCACAAAGCTGGGCTTTTGTGAACAAAGATGCGAGACTGTTCTGTTCTGCTCTTCTAGTGCTATTCCTGATCCGAGGACTCCAGTCGCTTCAACACACAGCGTCAGCAGTGCAGCCACCCCAGACCGACTCCGCTTCCCGCGGGGCACGGCCAGTCGCAGCACTTTCCACGGCCAGCCCCGAGAGCGGCGGACCGCCACGTATAACGGCCCGCCCGCCTCACCCAGCCTGTCCCACGAAGCCACACCGTTGTCACAGACTCGAAGCCGAGGCTCCACTAATCTTTTTAGTAAATTAACTTCAAAACTCACAAGGAGGTAAGTGCTGGGTGTTGCCTTTTGTTTGGAGCAGATACAAGAGCAAAAAGAGAAATGTCTTCTCTGTTTTGTGAAGCAACTGCCCAGATACTTTTCACTTTGTCTTTAACTCTTTTTTTTTTTTTTGGTGAGAGAGATCACGAGCAACAGGAGGAATAGAGGGAGAAGTAGACTCCCCACTGAGCAGGGAGCCTGATGCGGGACTCGATCCCAGGACCCTGGGATCATGACCTGAGCTGAAGGCAGACACTCAGCTGACTGAGCCACCCAGGCGCCCTTCGCTTTGTCTTTAGCTCGTGTTTTTCTGGTTTATATATAGAACTTTATACTTTAAAACCTTTTAGAATAGGAATTACAGAGCTTAGAATCTTCACAGCACCAAAAATCCTCTAGCACTTGGGAGGCTGTTGTTTTCTTTAATTGCTGTTCCTTTTGATCACACTTCTGTCCACATGGCATGTTTACTGCAGTTTAGCAAAACCCCACCTCCAGTGTAAGCTGGCACTCCAGAAGCAGTCCCTGTAGAAGACAGCGTGTGATGTGACCAACCCTGGACACGGAGGAGAGAGTCATTTCTTCTCTCATCTCCTGTCATTGTCATTGAAGAACACTAAGTTTTTTAGGGTCTAAATCTTAAAACTGTTTTTTCTATTGGTCTCAGTAAGTTATAGTAAGAACAAGGTAACTTGCTTAAACTGCGTAGTTTGGCATATAAAAGTCCTGATTTCTTCTCAGCAAGAAACTTGTATCTGGTTGTGTATAAAATCCTTTTTCCCTTGAGGTACTTTGAACTTTATTTCCATAACCTAATCTGGAGGCTGCAAAGGCTTAGAATCTTTGATTGCTATAAGAGGAAGAAGAAAAAGTGCCCCCATGCACCATAAGCACACAGGCAGAGTCACCATTATCTAGGACCACACTCAGGAGACCTGAGCGCCCCTGTACTCTCAGGACTCCCAGAAGAGTTTCTTCTTGAAGAAATTGAGCCTCACGGGGCGCCTGGGTGGCTCAGTCGTTAAGCACCTGCCTTCGGCTCAGGTCATGACCCCAGGGTCCTGGGATCGAGCCCCGCATCGGGCTCCCTACTCAGCGGGGAGTCTGCTCCCCCCTCTCCTTGTGCCCCTTCCCCAGCTTGTGCTCTCTCTCGCTCAGTCTCTCTCAAATAAATAAGTAAAATCTTTAATAAAAATAAATAAATAGGGCGCCTGGGTGGCTGAGTCGGTTAAGCGACTGCCTTCGGCTCAGGTCATGATCCTGGAGTCCCGGGATCGAGTCCCGCATCGGGCTCCCTGCTC